TTCATCTGCAAATCCGTAACAATCACGTTGTTCGGCGTCAAACACACATCCTCGATTCCCGTCGAAAGATCGGCAAACAAATTCGTGAAACGCACGTCCAACTGTTCAAATCGGTAGTCGATCTGTTGAAACCGATCGTTGAAGGTTGCATCACTTCGTTTGTTTGCGGCATCTTGTTGTCCCGGCAGCATCGCGATCGTACTGACTGCTGATACCAACTGATGTAGGGAAAACGTGAACGAATGGGAAGGATAAACGAGTAAACGAGATACTCTCTCGTAAAACACGCAAAACTCACGATATCAATTTTTATTTCATTCTCAACTTCAACTGTTCAATAACAAAGCATCAAATCTCTTTAAATAAAGCCCTCACCCTGGCTTATTCTCTAAGCTACTAATTTTTAAATAATATTAATTGCTATAATAATAATAATAATAATAATAATAATAATAATAATAGATATTATTTATTATTCTGAAAAGAGGCATTATGCTCACTTGGATTGCCCTGGGCATGCTGACTATATTAAGGTGAGATTGGAAAAGATTTACTTTTAGTTATATACCGAACATGCTGAATTATTTAGTTATCCTTCCATTTTAATCTTTAATGCAGAACATGATTACTGGAGCTGCTCAGATGGATGGGGGTATTCTTGTTGTATCTGCCCCCGACGGACCAATACCGCAAACTAAGGAGCACATTTTACTTGCTCGCCACGTGGGTGTGCCCTTTATGGTGTGTTTCCTGAATAAGGTCGATGCTATTGATGACCCAGAGCTTCTAGAGCTTGCGGAAATGGAGCTACGAGGTAAGCTATTTGGACTGCTTGTTATTTCTTTCTGATGGACCCATTTTACACCACTTCATTGTACATGCAGAATTGCTAAGCTTTTATAAGTTCCCTGGAGATGACATTCCTATTATCCGAGGATCGGCGTTATCTACTTTGGAGGGTTCAAACGAAGAAATTGGAAAGAAGGCTATCTTAAAGCTAATGGAAGCTGTAGATTCATACATCCAGATCCCATACGTCAACTTGATAAACCCTTTTTTATGCCAATTGGAGATGTGTTCACCATTCAGGTAACTGGATTTGGTTTGTCTGCCCTCCTTCCAAATTTTCATTTTCTTTGTTTGTTTACTTTACTCATTTATGTTACTTACAATTTTTTTTTTCCCTTTGAGATTGATAAGGCAGTTGTTTACTGATGTTTGGATGATTTATATAGATTGATTTATTGAACATCATGGTCACAAAATAATTTATTCATTCGAAGGGTGCTGAGATATGTAATTTATGTTTCGAGTAATATTCTTACCATAATGCTGTTTAACCCTTGAGTGTGATATTTTTAATCTTGCTATTTTGAAGGGGCGTGGTATAGTTGCAACGGGCCGTGTGGAGCAGGGTATAATCAAACCAGGGGAAGAATTGAAATCTTGGGACTTTCACAGGTAAGTATATAGCTTGATTTTTTTTTTTTTTTC